CTCTCTCTGTTTAAATCTAGATTAAAGTCTCTTTGGCCAAGCATTCAAATAATGCATCTCATAATCTTTTACTGCAGTTATATCTGATCAAATGCACATTATTATTCTTTAGTTTGGGTTAAACCAATAAATTTTGCTTGGTTGGAACAGCAGCTACGCTAATTATGTCTCCATTTGTTTCTCTGTTTTTGCCACGGGCTAGGATTTACACAAGCTTCAGTCTGGATCCAGAACACCTGAGAAGAGATGATGCCAACCCCTCAGATGATGCCAACCCTGAAACAACATACAGAACTACCACATTTTGCTATAAGTTTGATTGCATCATATAATAATTGCTGTTAATAATGTTCATTGTCTGTTTGATTACGTCTTTAATTGATTTTTCCGTACATTTCTGCCATATGTACATTGACTGACAGTCACCACTGATAAGCTACCACTAAATATTGTAGAAACTTAATTTGCTGTAAAGTTGCTTTGCAATGATTTGTATCGTGAAAAGCGCTGTACAAATAAACTTGAATTGAATTTTGCTAAATATGCACCATATAACATTTATTATAATTATTTTTACCGTTCTTCAATATTTAATTTATGTTTGAATAAATCTGTCAAGTTTTTGTGACAACCACCATTTAAATGTTTATATTTCAAAAAACGAATTGGAGTAAAAATATAATTGTGTAATTTAAAGTTCAAGTTAGTATTATAACTTTATTGATTATATTTTAAGTGTTTGTATATAAATCAGCTAATTTCAACCTTCCATATTATTGACTCTCAAGTATATTTTACAGCATTAGGCTAGTTGAGAGATTTTTTTTTTCTTGAGAAAATTTGCCATGTCCTGTACCTGATATATATCCAAAATAACAGATATTGAATTGAATTGAAATCAGAATCGAATCGAATCACAAGCTTGTGAAGGATAATCAAATAGAATTGTGAAATTTGTGTCAAAACCCAGCCCTAGTAAACGTATAAGAATGACAATCTATGCAGGATTCTGGAAACTTCTTATAGCAATAAATAGAGCTAAAAATTAAAAGGAAAAGACAGGAAATCAAGAATAAGTGATATTATTGCTACATTTCTTCAAAAGCAGATCGTGGAGATGCTTTAATCATCTATGATAAAAAAAATATGATATCACACACCCCTAATTAGCTTATAAAGACATTACACCAATTTCACTCATCTCACGAGTATGACAGCTAAATAGGCTTTGCTTTCAAACTCTCCTGTGTGTATGTGTGAGCGCTCTGTAAAGACCGAAAAAGATTTCTATTTACAATGTGTATAACAGCATTGAGCATCAAGCCAATCGAGCACTGAACACAATGACCAATCTGACGTGTTTAAGTCAGTCAGTGGTGCATCTACACAATACTGCAAGTTTTTGTTCAATGCACCTCACTGATTGTTCTACAGCTACACGCTCGCAACTCTTTTTGTTACAACTAAGAACACAATGCTCAGCTCAATATTCCACTCTATGAATGTGCGTTCTGCTCATGTACTGCTCAAAGTCTGCTCAAATAACGCACTGACAGGAAATGTCTCTGTACTATACTAGTAAACCTGTTTGCAATAGCGCTACTGTGCTGTAACATGGCAACTCTGGTAAAATGGCGCTATACCCTCGTTCACTGATCTGCTCCCCGCTATGCTCTGCTCACATGCCAACCTTCTACACTGCGAGTAAATCACTCGCATATGCGACTAAATCTTCACTCTTGGCGACTAAATGATGTCTAATATTAGCCAATGGCTAATACATTCTTAGATTTTACTCGCCAGTGTGTGAGTTGCAGGCTGAGTATAAGTTTAGCACAGATATATTTTCACTCACAGAACACTCTGACTGAGCGCTTCAGAGTTTCACTCTCCGTCAAGCGATCTGTGATATTTATAATTTCATCTCAATGGATGCGCAGCGCACCTGTGTTTGCGTATTTGGTGTAACAAACTCTAGTGTGAAGGCGCACGACTCGCTGACGCTTTCTCTCACACGCGCAAAGTGAGAGAGAGCAAGAGAGTCTTACATAACATGCAGAATTGATGTGATGTATATATATAAGTGTAGTATTTCAGTCTGGCGAGTAAACAAAAAAAAATTACTAGCCAATGGCGATTCAATTGCCAAGGTGTCCGTAGAGGGTTGCATGAAACAAAAATGCAATGAAAGTTGCATTTGCGACTGAAAACTACTGCGTGCGACTATAAACATTTTTTTAGGAGCACCAGTGCGACTGACCCGATCATCATCATACTTGTGATTGCGCTCAGGGGAGCTTCAAATGTTTCTAACGTTACGTGTTTTTGCAGCGTTGAGTAATGTATCACAGACATATCTCATGAATCCTTTCATAAGCAAACTGAGAGATTAATTGCGCAGTGTAGAGAGCTTCGTTGATTATAGATTTGAGATCGAGATGAACTAAGATGAGTGCCAGCTTTTAATGATTTTTAAAGGAGTTTGTAAATGTGATACTGATTTAATACAATTCAATAAACAAGAAGTTAATATTAAGTGACTTACATTGTCTGACTATAACACTATTGTCTGATTTTGCTCTATTTCGTCGTCGAAAATAGTTTGAAACAAAGTCACATCTCCATTCAAACACAGCGGTGTCTCGTTTATGAATGTGTACTTTTACTCAAGTACTTGATTTGTGTACTTCGTCCACCACTATTTGCTTAGACTATTTGTGTTTAAAAAGTTAGCTGACCAAAGATGCTTCACACTGTAATGGCAGTGAGTGAGATAGGAAAGTGTGTTTGACACCTATAGCTTTTTGGGTTTGAAAAGCTTTGCTGGACTTGGACATAATTGATGCAAATTTCTGTTGCTGCATGTTCAGTCCTTCTAATAATGGCACCATTTTACAGAAACTCTAGATGGCAGTAGAAGTGACAGGTTTTGGAGAAAGAGTAGTTATTCTTTAGATGTGGTGCAACAGCTTGAACACTTTCCAGTTTGCAGTTCTGTTAAGGAGATTAAATTTTGATTTATCTGGTGCTACATCATTAAAATAATGCTTTTATTCAGCAAGTTCTGTATGCATTAAAGACTTCTACTTGTTATAAAATAAACACTGAACTTTATTGAACGTATCTTTTGAACGTTCTATTTATCAAAGAATCCTGGAAATATATTTTTATCATGGTTTCCACAAAAATGTTAAGCAGCACAACTGTTTTTAATGTAAATAATAAGAAATTATTCCTGAAAATGGTTTCTGAAGGATCATGTGACAAATTCAGTCTTGACATTACAGGAATAAATTGCATTTTAAATATATATTAATATAAACAAAACTTGTATTGAATTGTAATAATAATTCTAACATTTTCATGGTAGTTAAAATATATAATAATATAATATAATAAAAATATATATATAATATAGTTTTTTTAGAGACCTGCCTTTGTCCTCAGTTTGACTACTGTAGTACTGTCCAACACTGCTGTCATTTATTAAGCAGGAAGAAATCCAACCAAATGACTAGTGGAAGCTCAGGCCTTCCACTATGGTTTCAACCCCCCCATTGGTGTTAGATATTAATTTACTAAAAGAAAAGACTAATGTACAATCTTTCAGTGCAGAGTGTCTGTCCTGAGTGTTTTCTTCAGTTTGTTTTTGTTACTTGAAGTTACTTTAAGCGTGTCAAGTCAACATACTTTACTTATTTGTGTGTGCATGTGTGTTTGAGAAAAAGATATGAAAGAGAATAAGAATATGTATGAATGTCATTCATGTCAGTATATGAGAGGTTAATGATCTACACCAGAGCAGTGAATGTGTAAGTAGACTTATGATTGGACAAACTCAAGTCCATATTGCCCTCATTGTTTCTTTTGAGCCACATCAGAAGACTAGATCAGCAAAGATGAAGTTTGAGAACCTGTTGACTGAGGTTGGGGGGTTTGGAAAATACCAGATCAGTATCATCGCCCTTTTGGTGATTCCGAGAGTAACGCTACCATTTCACTTCCTGTTGAACAACTTCATTGCCGCCATCCCATCTCATCACTGTGATATCAGCTCTCTGGATGCTGACGGGGTCCTTGGGAATCTAAGTCGAGAAGAGAGACTGACTGTCAGTATTCCTGCACAGGAAGATGGGACACCTGCTTCCTGTCACATGTTCTCCCATCCTCAGTTCCACCTGTTGGCAAACTCTTCCAGCAGCTCAGAACTTCCTGTAGTTGAGTGTCAGAACGGATGGGAGTATGACAACAGCACAATTAAATCAGCCTTGGCTACTGAGGTAATTCACTTTATTTGTTTTTAATTTAAATACATTTTTATAAATATATAATTTAATTTTACGACTGTTAAATATAGTCTCCACAGTAAACCTAAATGAATGTTAAAGCTGAAGTGTATAGATTTTTTACGTTAAAATTCAGAGACAATTATAAGTAAGCTTTTTAGGGGTTAATTTCCCAAAACCAATGGGAAAACCAATGGCTCAACCAATGGTGTAAATGTGGGGGCGGGACTTTTTGTTTCTCTGACTAGTGCAGTTTTGAATGAAGCAAGATTGTAATTCTGATTAATGTCCAATTCAAATGTACATCACTGATCAAAAGAAAAATGACATCTTTCTGACCAATATATATGTTTATCTTTCAGTTTGGATTGGTGTGCGACAGGAAAGGTCTGAATAAAGCCACAGCCACCATCTTCTTTGTTGGTGTGATGGTAGGAGCAGCCATTTTTGGCTGGCTGAGTGACAGGTGAGATTTAATGTAAGACATGGATCTGGCCTTTAAGAGATGTAGTGAACAGTGATGCTACAACAGCATGCCAAGCTGAAGTAGTTAAACTACAGTTACTGTTAGGTAGCTACAGCACAAACAAAATTTTGATGTTACTTAAAGGAGCACTAAGTGTTAATAATAATAATAATAATAATAATAATAATAATATTAAAGAAAAAAAGATGAGGGTTTTTGAATGAATGGACATCTCAATAATGGTTAAAGTAGTAGTAAAATTGTACTATATACAACAAAAACACTCTAATGTACATAACTGGGTCAAAAATCTATATATAGTACAGAAACTCATTTTTGGAGCAATTCACTACAATGAGTCGGACTTTCCAACATTGCATGCAAATAAAATAACTATTTTGGATGAATCAATTCACTAGACTGAACTACTTTCTAACACTACTACATGCATTTAAGAGAGAAGACCATTTAGTATGAATCGATTCACTAGAATGAACCGATCTTACAATGCTTATGAGAGAGAGAATTGTTTAGGACAAATTGATTCACTCTAATGAACCAGACAACTGTACATGCATTTGAGAGAGAGAGAGAGAGAGAGAGAGGATCATTTAGGACAAACTGATTCACTGTCACAAAGATCCGTTTAGGTGACAGCATTGTTCTTTTAAAGATATTAAAAAGTAGCCTGTTCTGGAAAAGCTACACTACTTTGAAAACAGCTGTCACACTATACTTTCCCCAGCATGCCAGTATAAGGTATTTCTCATGGATTCTGTTTATTCCAGGTATGGTAGGAAACGAATGCTGATGGTGGCTTACCTGATAGCCATTTCGTTTGGGGTGGCCAGTGCATTTTCCAAGTCCTTTATTATGTTTGCTATAATGAGGTTCTTCACTGGAATGGGCCTTACGGGCATCAGCATCATCTCCATTGTCCTGTGTGAGTGCTTTCTTACATGTCTGTGGGTGACCATTTAATATGTATTTTATAATTAATATGCTTCAAACACAATGTAGTATTTAGTAGACAGATTTTACGGACACAGCTCAACACTTGTTTAGTACCAGATGAAGCAGAATTTTTAAATGAACTAAATGAATGATTGAATGACACACTCAATCACAAGCATAAAGATTTAACTTGCAGAAAGTCACTTAAAAATCCATACCACTAATGCACAGACTGACATTCTGGTTTAAATAATAGAACTTATTATTATTCATCAGGTGTAGAATGGGCCGATATAGCACACAGGACGATTGCTGGAGTTATAATAAGTTTTGATTGGTCTATCAGCACTATGATATTGCCTGGCATTGCTTATCTCGTCAACGACTGGAGGCCTCTGGTCATCACAGTAACAGCTCCTCTCATACTGGCAGTGATCACATGGAGGTAAGATGTTACTATGATTGACTCAGATGTCCAGTTTTCCCAAATCACCTACATTCCTGTCTTCTAGGTGGATCCCAGAGTCAGCACGATGGCTTATAGCCAATGGACGAATGGAAGAGGCCCATTTTTACCTGAGCAAATGTGCCTCAGCCAATAACAGGCAACACAACCTCAGAGATATCAAACCAGAGGTAACATTTTAATATGCGATATTGAGGAAGCGATTACATTTTCTGCATTTTCCTAAACTTTTGAGAACATGACCTTTCAGACCCTTGCCAATGTTATAATTGCTGAGGACAGAGGTGACAGGAAGTACTCGTATCTGGATCTCGTGAGGTCTTCTAAGATGAGGAAACTGGCTATGCTTACTGGAAGCACCTGGTGGGATTTTTTTGTCTTTATAATGGCTTAAAATCATGGTTTCCTTTTCAAATTCAAGTCAGAGCAACCTGGTTTACTAAGATATTAAAGTAAATTGTTTTTTGCAGGTTCGGAGTGGCATTCACTTACTACGGCATCAGTTTGAACATCAGTGGTTTTGGGCTGAACTTGTACCTGACCCAGTTTATTTATGGTGCCATAGAACTGCCATCAAAACTGGTGGCCTATTTGTGTCTTGATAAACTGGGCCGCAGGTACAGCCAGGTGGGCACGCTGATTACAACAGGGGTCTGCATTGGCATCACCGTCCTCATTCCCAGAGGTAAAAGACAGAGAACAATCATTTATTATGATGCCACAATCATGTGATTGACACTCAACTTGCTTTAAAACTGTGAATGTTTGTTTTGTTTAGTTTATTCCGTTACAGAACAACCATTTATTATGATGTTGTCATCATGAGTTTGGCATTCATTGAATTTAATATGTGAATGTTTTCTATTACAGTCAGTCATTTATTATGACATCACAATCATCTGCCTGGCTTTTCAGTCCATTTAAATGAAAGAACAATAATTACATAGAATGTCACTGTTGTGAATGACTAAATGTAATTATGTAAAAGTTATTCATTGTGATGTCACAGTCGTGTTCAGCATGTCAGTCATTCTAAAATTTAAAATTTAAAAAGCTTTCTGATGGTAAAATCACATGTTTGGTGTCAAAATCAGTGTGGTTTTTTTCAGTGTTAAAATACTTCATCCTATCCCAGTTAAATATGAAAATCCAACTACAAGTGGGCCATTTATGGGATGATTCCACTTATCTAAAAACGAATATATTAATAATATATAAATATCACGAATAATATATAATTCTTTATCGTTGATCAATAGTTGATTCTCACACAATGTAGAACTAAATCAAAACATTGCTTTCTTATTTTAATGTATTTTAAAGTTATTATGGCCCCTGCTACACCATCCGGCCACAAAAAGCATTTTTCTCCATTGACGCCATTCAAAAGTAGTTGCATATTTAAAATAAAATAAAATTCCAGTGGATCTGGAGTTATTAGTCACATTTTAGTCATGCATTTCAGTCATGTAATTTATGGCTCAGTTGATGTCTCTGGTCCTGTCTTTAGATTTGTGGCTGCCCCGTACAGTCATTTCTGTGCTGGGTAAAGGATTCTCAGAGGCCTCCTTCACATGTGTTTTCCTCTATACCACTGAGCTCTACCCAACTGTGTTACGGTCAGTTGTTTATCATTTGCAAATCTACTTGTGTTTGTACATAAAATGGAAAAAAAATGGTGTTATTAAAATTCTCTCTCTTCTGACCTTAGGCAGAATGGATTAGGCTATAGCTCATTTGTTGGTCGTGTTGGCGTTTCTCTTGCACCTCTTGTGAGCCTTCTGGACGAGGTCTGGCTGCCTCTGCCACAGGTCCTGTTTTGCTCTGTGGCTCTCAGTGCAGGTCTCCTTGCGCTGCTCCTCTCTGAGACCCACAATGTGCAGCTTCCTGAGACTATTGAGGACGTTGAGAAAACTAGGTGTATAATCATTTACTACTGCTACTACTAGAATCTTTTTTTAATTGCTCAATGAATTACTTAAAATATCTTGCAATGTTCTAAACTTGATATAAAAATATAACATATTTTTATTTTATTTGTTACACAGGAAAAGATCAGTGTGTTCACAACTTGGAATGGAGCCTTACAAGCAGACAAAGTGAAACTGTAGAGAAGATGAAACTAATAAAAATCAAATTCATCGCTGAATTGTCTTGGTCTTTATTTAATAAATTCTTATTATTCTTGCGACAAACTACAAAACCTTATAGAGTATATAAACCTTATATATATATATATATATATAATTCCTGTTATGGAAAAGCTGAATTTTCAGCAGCCATTACTCCAGTCTTTAGTGTCACATGATCCTTCAGAAATCATTCTGATGATTATGATTTGGTGCTCAAGAAACGTATAAATCTATATTTTTATTATCAGGATTTGAAACGTGCTGCTTTATATTTTTGTTGGAAGAACAGCATTTATTTAAAACAGAAATCTTTTGTAACATTATAAATGCCTTTAATACATACTTGCCGCAATCAAATATGAATTTCTTTCATTCTTTAATTCCTTTCTTTTCAACCAGATGTCACAGTAAAGATAAAATTTGTGTTACATTCGTGTTACAAGTCAACAGACTGGCTGCCTTGAGGGCAAAGTTATGATAATCTCAGAATGACAAAGCAAGAATAAACATCTATTGTAAAATCACCACAATGTAAAGTTTCAACCAAAGGGTTTAATTTTTACAAATGTTCCACAAAGCTTTAGACATTCCCTCTGTTAACCATTTCCCTCCTTTAGAGTGTTATGACTGTGAGGTATAAACAAAAGAGCCAGGTGAGACAGAACCTCAACCAGGTCGAACACAACAGAGCGCAAGGATGAAGTTCGAAGATCTTCTCTCAGAAATTAATGGATTTGGAAGGTTCCAGAAGATGGTCCTGTGCATCAATTTCTTTGGGCGATTTAGTCTCGCGTGTCACTTCCTGTTAGGCAACTTTATTGCTGTTATCCCTTCTCATCATTGCAGCATCAGCTCTCTGGATGCTGACGAGATCTTTGAGAACCTGACTCAGGAGGAGAGACTCACTGTCAGTATTCCAGTGCAGGATGATGGGACTCCTGCTTCCTGTCACATGTTCTCTTATCCTCAATTCCACCTGCTGTCAAACTCCTCCAGCCCCTCAGAGGTTGCTGTAGTCCAGTGCCAGAATGGATGGGAGTATGACAACAGCACGTTCATCAGCACTCTCGCCACACAGGTGAGAAGACTCTTGCTTTTTTATTTATTACTGATGATACACTTTGTACTTTTCTCAAGTTGTGACCGCTATCTTTTTTGTGTCTTTCAGTGGGATTTAGTGTGTGACAAAAGAGCATTGAGCAGATTAACAACCACCATCTTCTTCATTGGGGTCATGTGTGGAGCAGCTGCTTTCGGGAGCTTGAGTGCAATGTTGGTGCAGCTAAATTGGTTTAATTAGGTTTTTGAGGTTTCCATAAATCATGGAAATGTTAGTTTAGAATTAGCAAAAACTAGCACAGTTGCTTAAAGGGATAGTTCACCCAAAAATGACAATTCTGTCATGATTTGCTATCCCTCATGTCGTTCCAAACCTGTATGAGTTTCTTTCTTCTGCAGAACATGAAAAAGGAACGTTTGCAAACATCGGTTCAGCATTGATTTCCAATTTTATGGAAATCAATGCTTGAGAGACATTTCTCAAAACCTCTTTTTATATGTTCCACAGAAGAAAGAAAGGTCTTACATGTTTGGAACAGCATAATTAAAATTTTTGGGTAAACTATCTATTTAAATTAATCTCAGCTGCATTAGAAACACACTGGACATTTTTCCAAATAATCTAATCCAGTGGTTCTCAAACCTCTCCATGAAGTACCCCCAGCACTGCACATTTTGTATGTCTCCCTATATCTGACACACCCACTTCAGGTCTTGCAGTCTCCGCTGATGAGTTGAATCAGGTGTGATAGATGAGGGAGACATACAAAATGTGCAGGGCTGGGGGTACTCCAGGACAGGTTTGAGAACCACTGATCTAATCAATCCAAAAAAATGTTGGGGTGTTTGCACTTGAGTGTTTTTAAGTGGACACATGTCTGTTTCTGCTCAGGTTTGGGCGTAAGCCAATGCTGCTGGTGTCACATATGTTAGGAATGGGATTTGGATTGTGTAGTGCTTTTTCCTCCTCCTTCATCATGTTTGCGGTGCTGAGATTCTTCACTGGATTCACCATTACTGGCAGTGTCATCATCTCCACTATACTCAGTGAGAATCACTCTCTTTTTAAATTGCTTTGACTTTATAATTATTGAGGCTCTAAAAAAACACAATAATGTTTCTAAAATGAAGATCACTGAATCACTCTAATTGGCAAAGTGTGTGTATATGTTATTTTGTTGATTTGTTCTTCATCAGATGTGGAGTGGGTGAGCATTGAACACAGAAAGCTGGTTGGGGTGATTGACAGCCTCTCTTGGACATTTGCCTTCATGAGCTTTCCACTGGTTGCATACTTCATTCGAGACTGGAGATGGCTGACTGTTGCCATCTCATTGCCCACCGTTACTGCCATAATCACTTGGTGGTGAGTATAAATAAACCAAACCTAAATAGAGGTCATAGAACACATCTGAAAATCATTTGGTACATGTAATGTGCCTTTTTCAAAAAGTAGCTTGCTGCACGTTCTCAATATAAAATACTTTACATTTCATAAATATGAATTTTGATGTTGTTATAGGTGGGTTCCAGAGTCAGCGCGGTGGCTGATAGCTAACGGGAGGGTGGATAAAGCTCATTATTATCTTCATAAATGTGCTGTCATGAATCGTAAAAAGGAAATTATTGTCAGCATAAAACCTGAGGTGAGAGCATCTCATTGAATTTCCAGAAGGAAATCTAAAATGGTAGTAAAGAAATATATTTTATTTTAAAATACCAGAAATATATTTTTTATTAAGAATGGTACAGTATTAACAATGGCACAAACTTTCTCCCTCGTTAGTAAAGATGATGTGAAACAAGGAAATTATTGCCAACATAAAACCTGAGTTGAAAGAATCTCAATTAATTTCCAGAAGGAAATCCAAAATATCAGTGAAAAAAATATTTATTTTAAAATACCAGAAATATATATTTTTTAACAATGGCCCAGTATAGCAAACTTTCTCCCTCCTTAGAAACAGATTATTGAAAAAAAAATGTAGCTTGGTTCTATCCATCAGTTGTTGATTGGATGGAGGCCGATCTGAATGCCAGCTTGCTGTCGATTGTAAGAAAAGGACAGTTTTCAAGCAGACAAGATGATTGGAGAAGTCAAGCATATGTCACCAGAGAGAATTCTGTTGTTTCACAGGAAAATTAAGTCATAAAAATGTTTTAAAATAAAAATCTCAGTAACATGCATGAGAAAGTAAAAGGAGTCAGGAACTGTATTTTTTTTTTTCTTGCTTTTATTTTAGCATAGTTTGCGGATATATTTGAACATATTTTTTTTTCTCTTTGTCTTTCTATAGAATTTGGCTAAAATCATAGTTACTGACAGAGGAAACAGGAAGTATTCATACCTGGATCTGGTTAGGACTCCTAAGATGAGGAAACTGGCCTTACTCACAGGAATCACCTGGTGTGTAGTGAACTATCAAATCACAAACACACACAACAGTTCCATCAGTAAAAGGATGTTCAGATAAATCTCATGGTTCTGCTGGATTTTTCACTGCCAGGTTTGCAGTTGCCACTGTTGCCTATGGAATTAGTTTCAACATTTCAAGCTTTGGACTAAATAGGTATCTCACTCAGTTTGTGTATGGAGCCATTGCATGAGAAAGTAAAAGGAGTCAGGAACTGTATTTTTTTTTTCTTGCTTTTATTTTAGCATAGTTTGCGGATATATTTGAACATATTTTTTTTTCTCTTTGTCTTTCTATAGAATTTGGCTAAAATCATAGTTACTGACAGAGGAAACAGGAAGTATTCATACCTGGATCTGGTTAGGACTCCTAAGATGAGGAAACTGGCCTTACTCACAGGAATCACCTGGTGTGTAGTGAACTATCAAATCACAAACACACACAACAGTTCCATCAGTAAAAGGATGTTCAGATAAATCTCATGGTTCTGCTGGATTTTTCACTGCCAGGTTTGCAGTTGCCACTGTTGCCTATGGAATTAGTTTCAACATTTCAAGCTTTGGACTAAATAGGTATCTCACTCAGTTTGTGTATGGAGCCATTGAAATTCCTGCTAAACTGAGCATCTATTATCTGCTGGATAAGTTTGGAAGACGCATAACTCAGGCTGGATCACTGCTGTTTGTTGGAATCAGCCTGATGATTAATATATTCATTCCCAAAGGTGAGAGCCTTACTTAAAGATCTTTTAACATGAAGAGTGAAATGACAATGTATACAGTTTGCCCTTTGACATATTGCCACATATTGGCCTATGACAAGATCTAGAGCAACAATGTTTCTTTCTCTTGCCATTCAGATAAGTCAGTGGTTCGTACGGTGATTGCTGTGCTGGGAAAAGGCTGCTCAGCCACGTCTTTTGGCACAGTTATTTTGTACAGCTCTGAGCTTTACCCCACTGTTGTCAGGTATGAAAACCAGTTTCATTCAAAATTATACTGTAGTAAAATTTAGATCTAGTGCCAAAAGCTACACTACATTTGAATGGTTTGGGGTCAGTCAGATTTTTGAAATTTTTTGAAAAGTCTGTTACACTCTCACCAATGCTGCATTTATTTGATCAAAATGCAGTAAAACCAGTTATATTGTGAAATATTATTACAATTATTATATTATTTATACTATTTAACTTTTTTAATATAATAAAACATAATTTATTCCTGTGATGGCAAAGCTGAATTTCCAGTAACCATTACTCCAGACTTCAATGTCACATGATCCTTCAGAAATCATTATAATATCTTGATTTGTTGCTTAAGAAACATTTTATCATCAATGTTGAAAACAGTCGTGCTGCTTAAATTTTTTGTGGAAACTCGTACATTTTTTAGCATTCTTTGATGGATTAAAAGTTCAAAAGAACAAACAGAAATCTGTTGTAACATTATAGATGTCTTTACTGACACTTGATCAATTTATTGCCTCCTTGTTGAATAAAACGGAAGAAAAAATCTTCCCCAAACTTTTGAGCAGTAGTGTAAAACTGTAAATGGTAAATATTTATAGTTTTTATTTTTTAAGTTGAATTAAAAATATACTCATAAATGCAAAATATAGGCAAAATGGGATGGGCTATAACTCCTTTGTGGCACGTCTTGGTGTGTCTGTGGCTCCTCTGATCCTGCTGTCGGATGATGTTTGGAGCCATTTCTCTCAAGTCATCTTGTCTTCTCTTGGCCTCTCTGCTGCTTTTGTGGCTTATCTATTACCTGAGACACGAGGCAGGTGTCTGCCGGAGACTATAGAGGATGTCGAGGGAATCGGGTACGGTTATGTGGAAAAACTATCTAGTCTGGGAAACTGAACCCTTAAGCATAATCATTTGCAATTCGAAGAATGTTCATTTTGTTGTTTTAAATTACAGGAAGGGCACTGATAACTTGCCACTACAAGATCAAAAAATGGATGAAAAAGAAAGCAGTAGGTTGAAATGGAAAGACAATTTAATTGTGCAGAACACATAACTGTAGTAGAATTTTTTATTTTTTTTATCCATAACCCTATTTATGTGTCATCATTTAATTAAAACATTGAAAGAGAAATTTGAAGGGAGATGTTGCATGTTTTCCTCATTGTGATGTTTTTGTCAGACTTGTGTGACTCACTAATCCACATATAAAGGAATACTATAGGAGGAACAGCTCACAGGCCTTTCTATTTTTACAGGGCAAGAAATAATTTGTGCTTGGAAACAGTGTTGGGGAAAGTTACTTCAAAAAGTAATTCATTACAATATTGTGTTACTCCATAACAAGTAACTACACAGTGGGCAATTGATGTTGAAAAGATTAATAAAAATTAACGTAAAAAAAAAACAGGTAAAATATGTAAATCAACCTGACATCAAAAACTTGACACGACTTAGGTTTGATGTAAATTGAACGTCAAATATATTACATAAACATTAAACCACTACATGAACATTAAACCAATTTCAGTGTGGGATTAACTTCCTGTTTTCACCAAATTACCACTGGAAGAAATTGCCGTCCAAATTTTAAGTGGTTACAGCATCAAGTCATGACCAATATTTGACATCAAATTGATATCAAGGTGCTCGCTGGGTAATTGCATTACTTAGTTAATTTTTATGGAAAGTAATTAATTACGTTACTTTTGCATTACTTTTTGTCATCAGGGCTAGGCTTGCTTATTTGTTTTTTAATAACAAAAAAACTCAAAGCTATATTTTTGGCAACTGTAAAGGCCCTTTCAAAAGTGAAATTAATAAGACTCAGGCTGAAGGAAGTGCCTCTGTATTCATTCCCAATTTCTCCTTTAATACGGGACAGAAGAGGTGTCAGTGATAAATTGGAAAACAAGGTAACTTGCATTACTTATTTGAAAAAGTAATTCAGATATTTAAAAAGAATGCATTAGTTTACTAGTTACTTGAAAAAAGTAATCTGATTACGTAATTTGCATTACTTGTAATGTGTTATCCCCAACACTGCCTGGAAATGTAGCCAAAAAAGGAAGGAAAAAAAAAACCAGGTTTTGCACTGGTTTACTAACATTATATGTACAGTTATAAGGTGCTTCGTCTGGGATAATGAAAGTAAATATGTTATGAAACTTGAAACCTGAGTTTACTGTTCATTAATCAGTAATTTGGAATCTTGCCCTAGTGCTTCACAAAAAGTGTTTAATAAAGTGCAGAATGTAAGTGTTTATGTCTGTAGAGAAAGATTAATGAATTGATTTCTTTCTTTGGGCCTATGCATACAACACTAAGTGTCAAATTAAAGCATAACTTTGATTTAATCACAAGTTTTGTGAACCACAAATCCTTGCACAATGAGCTTGTTGGATAACAGCTGTCTGAAAGGTTTTCTAAACATAGATCAGTGCAGTTCAATGATAACAAAAGTTAATCTGTACAAATGACCATACAAACAACCCAATCTGTCAGCATCACCTAATGTGTTTATGCTTTTCTACTCTTTCTAAATTAATCTGTTAGCATTTAGATGACAAATAAATGGTTCTCATTTTATCTAAGAAAATCCTTCTTAACTCTGACAAAAGATGTAGTTTTATCATAATCAGAGACGGAGCTTGCCTTTTTTTTTTGTTTTTGCAAACTCCAGTGAGTCCCTATAAAATATCTACCAAGAGATCAAAAAGGAAGTGAAGCCAAAAGAGTGCTAGTGTGATAAGATATATCATCTGTGAAAGGTGTCAATGTCCATGTGCATTAACAACATGAACTGCACAGATGGCGAGACACTCTTTTACCAGCATTAACAACCAAATCACAAATCATTCACCACTGCTGACAAGCTAGCAAACTGTCTGAAGATATGGCCACACACACATTAAACACAGACATACAACCACAGCTTTGGTTTTAATGACCAAAGTACAAGATGCATCTGACTTCCAGTTAACCTTAACCTTTGTTATCCCATAAAAACTCACCACATAAACCAGGGATTTTGTAGGAAGACACTGAGGAAAGTCTGTGTATCAACAAAAACCATGAAGTTTGAAGATCTAATTACGGAAATCAATGGCTTCGGCAGGTTTCAGAAGATGATTCTTTGCATCAGTTTTGTAGGACGATTCACTTTACCATGTCACTTTCTATTAAGCAACTTTATCGCCGCCATCCCATCTCACCACTGTGATATCAGTTCTCTGGATGCCGAGGGAATCTTTGGGAATCTGAGTCGGGAGCAGAAACTGACTGTCAGTATTCCAGCACAAGATGATGGGACTCCTGCTTCTTGTCACATGTTCTCTTATCCTCAGTTTCATCTGTTGACAAACTCCTCCAGCAGCTCAGAACTTCCAGTAGTCCAGTGCCAGAATGGATGGGAGTATGACAACAGCACGTTCATCAGCACTCTCGCCACACAGGTGAGATTTCAGTGAAGAAGGTGCTGCACTTTATAAACCATGTTGTTGACCCTTTCTTGCTAGGATGGGCCTGCGTGCTGAAAAATCCAACTTCAACTCCAAATCATTTGAGGATTGCCTTAAACCATTTAAGTTTAAAAAACAATATTTATGAGTACTGTAAACTTTTTCATTTGAATCACTGTAAACTATACTCAAATGCATTGTTTAGCTAAACCTTGAAACCTAAAATGAAACGTAAAATGAACTCAAGCAAGTCTCTAGCAGTTAATTAGCTAGCAATTCTGTGCATTGCAATAAAAAACATCACTGCATGTGCAGAGTTATAGCTTTTCAAATAAAGTAACAGTTTTTCAGTCACTGGATCATTCTCAACATAAACCCTAAATTCTACTCTTCAGCACAATAGTAACCCCCCAAAAGTCCAACATTACAAAAACTTAAAAATACCAAAACTGGAAATGGACTAAACTCTGCCGCCCAAATTCGGTTCAAACTAATTATTTACTTCATTTAGTAAATTTCACTATTAGGTTTTACAGTGTCGGTAAATATGTCCTCCCTTTCACATCCAAAAAAAAAGGAAGTTAGTTGGGAATTTTGAGTTGTGATATGACAAGTTGTCATATGAAAGTTTGAAGGTTCAAGACCTTCGGATAAAAATGTCATGATAAAACTAGTGATATATTTCATCCACATCTAGTTTTGAAAGTTCATGAAGCAGTTCATTGCAATTCCTTAAGAAAAATTATTTTCCATCTCTTTTTATTTCAAAGTGGGATCTGGTATGTGATAAAAAAGGTCTGAATAAAGCTGTGACCACCATCTTCTTTGTCGGAGTGATGTTTGGAGCAGCTTTTTTTGGAGGCACGAGTGACAGGTGATGTTTAAAAAAAACAGAACTGTGTATTATGATAAATATTATGAACAATTAGCATTTTATGAAGACCGCCACAAGCAGGAAATGTTCTGTATGAAAAAACCTGTCTTGTATTTGGCATGTAGATTTGGCCGTAAGCCGATGCTGCTCGTATCCTATATATCAGGAATGGCTTTTACATTGGCCAGCATCTTTTCTACCTCCTTCATCATGTTTGCAGTGCTGAGATTCTTTAGTGGATTCACCATCACCGGCATCGTTATCGTCTCAGTCGTACTCAGTAAGACCCCTATCTCAGGTCCTCAGATTATGATTGAATGTGAATATAAAACAAAGTAAAATGGCCTTACTGTACATGCATGTCTTTCTTCAGATGTGGAGTGGGTGGACATTCAGCACAGAAGGCTTGTATGTATAACTGGCAGTATGGCATGGGCTGTTGGGAGCACCTCGTTGTCTCTTTTTGCGTTCTGTATCAGAGACTGGAGATGGCTGACAGTGGCTGTCACATCACCTTTACTGCTATCCACAGTCCTCTGGTGGTAATGGACCTCGCATATTCTGTCAAATGAGACAATTAAGGGTAAGAATGTTCTATAGAGCAAATGTGTCTGATGTAGGTGGGTTCCAGAGTCGGCTCGGTGGCTGATAGCCAATGGGAGGGCGGAAAAAGCTCATTATTATCTTCACAAATGTGCTGTCATGAATCGCAAGGAGGAAGTCATTTCAAGAATCAAACCTGAGGTGAGAGAAAATGATATATAACAAGGGATTGATCAGTTTATTTTAAACAATTGTCTGTCTGTAGGCTAACTACAGTACATCTCTGTCTTTCTTCTATAGGCTCTCTCCATCATAGCTTCAGATGAGGGAAAGAAAAATTATTCATATCTGGACCTAGTCAGAACCCCTAAGTTGAGAAGATTGGCTCTACTCACAGGAACCATATGGTGTGTAAATGAACCACAGTTCATTTACGAACAGTATCTGCCCACCTTTTCAGTGGCCTTGGTCTTATTTTTTTAGAGATTTTTAAAAAGTCTTTGTTAAAGAGTTAAAAGCCATGAACTAAACAGCCAGTTATGAGGTGAAACACATAACAAACTTTGATTTAAAGCAAAGAAGTATTTGAAATTTAGACAAAATTCAAAAGTACATGACTGTGCTTAACAGCTTTAATTGTTTTAATTTATTGTAAAATATGTGTATATTCAGTGTACAGCGTTTGCTTGTTCCAGTTCTCTGATTGGTGAAGATTTAATTGCAGAATCATAGATAATGTAGTTTCTCTCGAGGATTCCTGCTATTAAATACAACTAATGTATTTTAAAAATAAGTTGAAATAATGCAGACTGTTGGCTTCACTATAGACTGCACTATAGCCTTCAGTGGCACTAGATTACAGAACAAGGACAGACGTCATTGTCTGAATAATAAATAATCTACTAATGGCTTTTCACTTCTTACAGGTTTTGTGTTGCCACTATGACCTATGGTATCAGCCTCAACATCACAGGCTTTGGACTAAATATGTACCTCACTCAGTTTGTGTATGGAGCCATTGAGGTTCCATCTAAACTGATAGTATATTACTTGCTGGAGAAGATTGGCAGACGTAAAACTGAAGCAGGAGCTCAGCTGTTGGCTGGAATCAGCCTCATGATTAACATATTCATACCCAAAGGTAAGACTGGCAAAACCAACATATGATTATGCAATGATTATAATTACATGTGCAAAAGTAATGTTGCTACTGAATATCTTGGAAAAGCAGTATTATCACTTTTATATGACATATTAATAAGACTTTAAAACTGCAGACATCATTTCGGTAACCTGCGATGCGGCCTTGTCAGATTCAGTGAGCCCGCTGTATGTCTGTTAATGTTCACATCAGACCAAACTGCCTTCTAAAACACAGGAGAGAGAAGTTTTGTATTTGGGTAACATTAAAAGTAAAACCATTCTGTGTGAAATAGAGGGGGTAAGAGATTTCAGTAACCTTTAATGCTGCCTTGTCAGATAAGGTGACCCTGCTGTGTCTGTTGCTGTTCACATCAGACCAAAATACTTCCTAGGATATAAAATAGAGGTTCACCTTGTGATTTTGGAGAACATTAAAGCCATTCTAGCCATAATTAATAATCATTATATATGCAATCATGACAATACTCAATAGCACTTGGAGACCTTGTCCAATAACCATTTATTGATATTCACTGAATAACCTAACCCAAGTAGCACAGCGTACAATCGTGCAAGAAATACGCCGCGCGTCCGTTCCAAGCAGCTCGGAGCCGCAGGAGTCACGTGAGGAGAGTGAAGCGAAATGACTGGTGGCGGGTCCAAAAGCGCAAGAGAACTTTTGTTAATAAACGTTTCATTTCTTCGTTTAAAATAACTGAGTTGGTCTTTATTGTTGCTGTGTTTTCATGAAAAAACAAAGATGAACCACAAACTAAGCATTCGTTTTAAATAAGGTAAACCTTATTTATTTGGGTTACAGCGCAAGTATAGGCTCTGTCTTCATCAATTTGTTAATAAGAGTTAGAGGTTTAATAAATGCGAATTTGCCATTGTACTACTTTATGACTGATCTGTTTTAATAACAATGAACCACAAACTACGATCGTTTTAAAAGGGGAAATCCATTATATTTGCGTTACAAATTTTATAAACAAAATTGTCATTTTGTTAATAAAACTTCAGTTTAATATGTGAATTTCTTAATGATACTACTTCATTGTGGGCCTATGTTTTTTTATTATTATTATTATTAATAGTAATAATGACCCACAAAGGGGAAAATACAAAGACTTTATTTTTATGTTACAACGCGGTTACACCAAGTCATCAGTTTATTCGTTTTGTTCAATTTTTACATTTAATATAAGCTAAGCGACTTCATCATTGTACTATTTTATTGTTGATGTAACGTTTTTTTTATTATTATTGTAGATTGAATCAACCTTAAGCATTAGTTTTGATCCACGAAAAGATGACGTTAAAGATCAAGATGCGAGAATGCGTCATAGTTGCTGCTGAGGTAAATGGACTCTCTCGCTCTTTCTCTGTTTCTTTGTAATAACTGTAGACATGCTCGTTAATTCTTAATTTGGGTACAGACGTGTTATGGGGGAAAAATATGATCAAAAAGTCATGGCAACAAATGTTTTTTTTTTTAAATCAGTATATGATAAACGTTTTAAACAACTTATACACAGTCAAATTGATTTGACTTAACTCATGTTTTACAGTGTGACCACAATAAAGGGCTTCTTAGAGTAGCCTACCATACTGACTGGATAATCAGGAAGAATTGTTAGAATTAGAATTAATTATTGTTAGAATTAATACTACTAAAACAAAATAAGATTAATGCGTATGCCTACTGCTGGTTGGCTGCCCACTAGGCATAGGCTCCAGGTCTGCTTCCTTATCGCCAGCTCAAGGCTCGGTCTCTTTTTATTTTTTTTGGGCTTCGCGAAAAAATCAGAAATGCGATTTCTCGCCATGTTGACTGGTGTATTTTTAAAGCTTCAATGACGGATGCGGACGTGGTGACGTCACGCGACAATTGTTGCTTATTGTCGTTAAGCTTTTCCCCCTATGATTTTAATGAATATTCAAATTAATAAAATTAGTTATATTTCTTTTTTGTTACAAAATTCAATTTTTTTTTTTATTTTTAACACCGCATCCCCAGCACCCCCATTTTTTCTTTATCTCCGAGCCAGGGGCTGCTGCAGCACCCCCAGTACCCCTACTTCCCGCGGTAATGTGTAGGCTATGTCTGATACTGTTCACATCAGAGCAAAATGCTTTCTGTGATATAAAACAGGTGATTAAACAGCAGCAGAGTGAATTTAGGTAACATTAAAACCATTCTGTGTCAAATAGATAACAGATTTCAGTGTTATGCTGCCTTGTCAGATTTGGTGACCCTGCTGTGTCTGTTGCTGTTCACATCAGACCAAAATACTTCCTAGGATATAAAATAGAGGTTCACCTTGTGATTTTGGAGAACATTAAAGCCATTCTAGCCATAATTAATAATCATTATATATGCAATCATGACAATACTCAATAGCACTTGGAGACCTTGTCCAATAACCATTTATTGATATTCACTGAATAACCTAACCCAAGTAGCACAGCGTACAATCGTGCAAGAAATAAATGACAAATATTAGGGAGTACAGCTGTGTTTTTTGGTGCTAACGCTATTTATTTTGAAGTGGTGCTACCTTTCTGAAACGAGTTTTTCCAGGGTGGGGTGTTTGAGATACGCCTCCACCTGCTGGCGTAATGATGTAACTGCAGGAACAGTCATTTAAACATTTTAACTGTGAGACGCTGCTTGGTCGATTAGATTCGTTGACCGAAACTAACGGTTGTATAATGGATAATAGGATAGAATGGGGGAAAATACTGTAATGGTTTAAGGCACAATATAGAGATGGCATAAGCGTATTAAAACTTAAACTTACCAGAAATGACAATAATTTGTTTATTCAGTCATACTGTGTTCATTATCCTCTTTCACATTCAGATCAGTGGGTTGGTCGTACTGTGGTGGCAGTACTGGGTAAAGGTTTCGCAGTTGCAGCTTTTTGTACAATTGTATTATACAGCTCGGAGCTTTACCCAACCGTCCTCAGGTAACAATTAAAAACAGTCAACATAATGATATATTTACTATTTGATATAAATGTAAAATAAAGGAGTGCATATTTTACATTTGCATTCTTCATACATTTCCTCATTACATAACTAAATCATTTATTTGACTGAATCCTTCAGGCAAAATGGGATGGGATATAACTCGTTCCTGGGCCGTCTGGGAGTGTGTTTGGCTCCTCTAGTCCTGCTATTAGACAGTTTTTGGGGCCACTTCTCTCAGACCATCCTGTGTTCTGTGGCACTCATTGCTTCGGTGGTGGCCTGGCAGTTACCTGAGACACGAGACAGGTGTCTGCCTGAGACTATAGAGGATGTCGAGGGTACCGGGTAAGTCATAACCTACTGTATAGTATTTTGTTAAGGCAACTATAGAAGACTTGTATTAACACACTGCTGAACACTATACTTGAGTAATTCTATTGAGTCAAGGAAGTAATATTGGGACCAAAACAGATGTAGGTGTGTTTAATCTAAAAGAATCTGGAAAGTTTATATTGTGTTTTCATTAACCAAGTCATTTTTTTATCATATTGAATAGGAAAAATCTCATTTATCATGACAAGCAGGAGGATGAGGAGAAAATGACAACAACTGAAACCAATGAGGACCACTGAGATTGTGTGCACATTCAATCCTAAATTCAACCAAAGTTGTTTAGTGTCCTGTTCAGATCCCAGAAGAGTAAATGCACGCAAAAAACTTGAAAGAACAATTCCAAAGTTCTTTTAAAATATGTTTTATTAGTTACACAAGGATTTACAACTTTCTCCAGTGCCATGTAATAATTACAGATATTTTCTAAGAATGGAGGCGTGAATGAATAAATGGAAACTGTGAGTTTGTTTGTGAAAAACAGTAAAATGAGAGAGAAAGAGCCTATGTATGTGTGCATGTTTAAGTGACTTTTGTATTACTTTTTTATAAGATGCCAGTGGCCATTTCTGATGATCAGACTACATGCAACGATATTTGCATTTATCTATGTGAAAATAAATCTTTACACCTTACAATTTTTTTTAATATGCAAAAAATATTTCTGAAACAAATTAGCTTTTCCTTGTGACTTAATGTTCGCTTCGCATTTCATTCTCTGCATTTTCTTTCTCGTAAATGTAACAGCCCACCTTTCCAATGTTTACGCCTTTTGGTCCAAAAAGGTACCCATAACAGGGCACATGGCAGTACGGGCTGCCCTCATGCTGCAGAAAATAGAGAAAATACTGCACATTATTAAGGAGTCTGAAGCAATCATCATGGTAGATATTCTACAAATACATCATTTACATTATTTATAGGATTTACATTTCAGATTTAGCTACTGTTTTAATTGTCATTTAATATTTAAAACCCAAAAAAAACAATAATTCAAAAATGCATTTGTAAACATCTCTATCAGAGTAGGCAAAGACGTAGTAATTGCATATTGTGCTTTAATAGAAGTAGTAGGTTGTATGACACATTTGTAAGTACCTCTGCATGGCCACCAGGGGTCAGTGTTTTCTTGCACCTCACACAGCGAAGACAAGGCCTGTGCCAGTTGCGACCCAGTGACATCACCTTCTCAGCTGCAGCATTAGACCATGACATCACATTACATCACATTAATACAACACTGTTTTTAATGGTTATCTATATATAAAGAATAATATAAAATGTATATTCAGAAAATTAACAAAAAATTATTTATTTTAAAATAATTTGATATAAAACATGGAATATATAAAATATAAATACATAATTTAATTATACAATTTTACATTTAATTTATAACTTGACTGTGTATGGCTAGAAAATAACTACAATTTTTTTAAATGTTACACTTAAGTCTAAACTACGAGTAACTATCATCAACAATAACTTATCTTTGACTTTCACCTTAAAGGGGTGCAGTCTAACGTGTTAATGCTTCGTTTGTTTTAAAAACGCATTATTTTTCACATAATTTACCTTTATTCCACACCGCTCTGTCCCTTCTCTGAGAAACGGGCTGATCATTTCCTCCTTTTATGAAGCCCCTCCCTCAGAAATAGGCGATGGGCTCTGATTGGTTAGCTAGCCCAGTGTGTTGTGATTGGCTAA